TGTAAAGGCTTTCCACGTCGAAGCTAATTAGTTGATCTTCCTGTGTGACTTCAATTGACCCAAGTAGTTCGACAAAATGCCTTGAATTCTTCACAAAAGAGGATGTTTTTCCTTGTAGTGGTTGTATTATGGGAAGTAAAAATCTAGACAAGTTTTGAGTAGCCGAATCTCCGGAGCTGATGATCGGTCTAAGCAGAACATCCTTCTTGTGGATTTTGGGTAATCCATACAAGTGGTGCGGTGTTAGCGATGATCTGTCCTTGTCCGAAAAATAGACTTGGTGTTTTTTTCAAAATCTGGTACAACTTCCTTTCAATTGAGGTAGTAGGGTACGATCTTTGTGTATCGTCCCTTCTGAAGAACCTCTTCGATCTTCTGTTCGTAGAGAACAGTATCCATCACCACAGTAGCGTTTCCTTTATCTGCAGGTAGGATCTTGATTGTGTTGTCTCTACGTAGGCCGTTCAGAGCTCTAAGTTCTTCATTGCTGACGTTAGATGTTGGAACTGTTTCTCGATCCAGCTGTTCTCTGATTTTCTATCTGAATTATTCTGCCTCAGTCTGGTCAGTAAATGAATTGGTGGATTCCACTGCCGTAATTATCTCCAAAGTGGGCACAAATGTTGGCGCAATGGCGAAATTTAGGCCTTTCCTCAACAAGGATTCCTCTATTCCCGTCTGCGGGCGGGAACTCATGTTGATGACGTTGGCGGCTTCATAGTTGTACTGTTTTCGGTCTGTGTTTAGGCATTGTTTCCTCACTAACTTCCCCCACCTTCTGTTGTGGGTATTCTCCATGTCTTGGCGGATCTTCAAGCACGTGCTTTCAATCTTGGAAAAGATTGGTCCTTGATCATCTTCCAATATCTCTCTTTTTATTTCTTCAAATCGTTCAGTGGCATCCTGCAACAAAGTTGACCTCTTCCAACGGTGATAATTGATTGAAGACTTTATCAGTGCTCGGCTAGCGCGTTCCATCGCGCCATCATCAAAAATGATCTTCAACGGAATGGCTACTCCAAAGCGATGGTAGAAAAGACTTTGGCTAAAAGACAGCAGGAGCCTCGCAAGGAAGAGATGCCGTCACAACCAGTGCTTGCACTTCCCTACATCAGAGGATTATCGGAGAGGATAAGAATAATTGGTTCCAAGTACAACATCAGAACCTGCTTCAGATCCGGTAACACTATCCGTAGCAGCCTCACGAAAACCAGGCCACCAAACGCGGACTGCGATTCCAAGAATTGCATTTACCGGATACCCTGTGAGTGCGGAAAATCCTATATTGGTGAAACAAAGAGTCCATTGAATATTCGCATTGCCATGCACAAGAAACACACACAGCGAGGGGAAACCAGCAAATCAGGAATATCAGACCATGTTTGGACCATTCAACACAACATCGAGTGCCCATTCTCGTCCCAGTCTTCCCTATACCATTGCAATGGCGTGGGTACCTCGTCGGCTCTCTCATCCACAGAAGCCAATACACTCTGCCCTAAGGGTGTATCAGGATTTGATGAAGTCGTCGAAGACCATTTTTTCCTTGGTTCATGGTTCTTTCAAGTTCTGTTACTTGAAAACTGTGGATCGTAAAGCTCCCACTAATAGGAACTTTTTTGTGGCAAATTAAATGTTCTAGAACTCAACTTTGTTAAATAAAATTTTTTACGCCAAAAAATCGTGTTGAAGAACAAAAAAAATATAGAAAACAGAATTTTTGGATGAGCGAAAATTCTAATCTCATACTCTGCTATAACATAGTGATGATAAGTTTTATGTCAGATAAAACTTTTATTCCTTTTAGTGTGTAATCGTTAATGCATGTGTGTGTATTTATGTGTATGTACATGTAGAGAATGAAAAAAATTGACTCACATAGTTGTTCTTTTCCTGATGAGGTACTGTAGCAGAATCACATGGTGAAGAAATATTATCTTCTTGTTCTAAGACTTCAGATGCTTCTTCAATTGGTTCATTATCACAAAGAAACTCTGGAGCAAAAAACATCAAATCTTTTCCAGGTATATCAGGTTCACAGTTCATATATACAAATTTTTCTGAATCACTGGAAACATCACTTCTTATGGACATATTATCGCTGACATCTTCTGGACTAGGTTTCAAAGCACTATCGATAGAGGACATTAGGTTGTTGAAACCTTTCTTCATTGAACTTAACCCTGAAAATAATAGAATCATTGTTCAGCCAGTTGAATATTTCAATCGGAAATTAACTATGAAACAGTTAAAATATCAATCAGAAAAGATCAAAACTATGGCAATACTCTTCCATATATTCGTACACTTGTCAGACTACAGTTTTTGAGAATATTTCTTTTTATAATCGTTTTCAAACAATTTTTCGGTATGAAATATTCATAAGTATGCATTAAAATCTCCCCTTACGAAGACACCAAAATTCGACATCGATTTGCAAATGAAAAAGACATTCTCTGAAGTTTCAAATATTAGGCAACTAAATTAAACCAGAGCCCATAACAAAAAATTCGGGATCCAACAACAGACAGAGCTGTGGTTATAACCACAAATGTGGTTATAAGTACTACTGTTTTGAAGATGTCATCTTGGGACAGAAAACTCGAACAGACCATTGTGGGAACTCTTGTTTATCTTGGATAAAGAAATCATAAATACAGCTTTATTCAAATTTGAGTATGAAATATAAAGAGTAGAGGTTAATCACGATTTCTTCAATTTTATTCACATTCAGATAATCTATAGTGAAACCAATAATGATTGAGAGTAAAGCGCGTTGTCATATCTAAATTTTACGTTACCAGTTTATAGCAGAATCAAAATATAGTAAGCAGTAGAGTTGTAGGTTGTGGCAAATTATAGATAATACACAATACTAGTACGATTAAAAGGTATTATTTATGACAAAAATCAGTAATGAGCTTGTAATGAGTAATACTTATACATTTCCTGATTACTGATCAGTTAAAATTCATTATTTTCTGTATAGT